CTGTCTGCTCATGTCCTGATGTCCTGATGTCCCCTGTCTGCTCATGTCCTGATGTTCTGATGTCCCCTGTCTGCTCATGTCCTGATGTTCTGATGTCCCCTGTCTGCTCATGTCCTGATGTTCTGATGTCCCCTGTCTGCTCATGTCCTGATGTCCTCTTGCCCCCTATCATAAAAACATTTGAATTAGCAGGTTAAAAAAAATCTATATTTTATCATTGGAAACAATTCTCAAAATGTAATATTTAAATCGAAAGAATTGATATTCAGTTTCCATCCGCTTGTCCTTACCACTTAGAAAATGCCCCATTGTTCCGGCCTTTGAGATGGTTTTATACAGCCTGCAACATTTTAAATTCATTATTAAATCTGCCTGCAGATCGACCTTTCATTTTTCACAGAATAAAAATCAATGTAATGCCAGCCCCCCCCCCCCCCCCCCCCCCCACTCCGGAGGCTCAGAGGTTAGTTGGTTGACAGCAGATGCGTATTAACATGGTCAGAGGCCCCAGGGTATTCGAGTTATCAGAGAGCCCCCTAGTATTTTCTATAATGATGCAGTTGTTCACTGAGGGGGGGGGGGGGCGCTCCCCAGTGATAACAATTTACAGAGCCATATTGGTTCAAAACAGAACACAACTGGTGGCAACTTCAAAATTGCACTAAAGAGGGCTGGTTGAAGCCCTTTCTTAATGGAGGCTGCTCGGCTCACGCTGGGGAAAAGCGCCCCTAGTTATCGGTGTCGGCCATATTACACAAAAATATATTGATTTCCATATTTGTGCTCCACTAGAATTTCTCACAAATACCTGATTTAAGAAAGCAGCAGCCCCAAAATATATGAGGCATACGGTTTGTTCAACAGAGAAGTCATAGATGAGTTCATGAAGGACTAGAATTTTCCATTTCTCATCACGGTTCTCCCAATAAGAACTTTCTAAAGCTCCTTTAAGGGGTAACAGGTGCCGGTCTGAGGACAGAATAAAAGCGTCTCTGATCTCCGCCGCATTCTCGTTCCTGTTTCTTCTTCGGATGATACGTCTCCTTGTCTGCTGCGCAGTTTTGTGTATGAGATCTAAAGCCTTGAGTGCACCCAGATGTCTTTCTGTCATCTGTCATGTTTGATCACCAGAGACTGTTTGCTAATGGATCTCAGCCCCTGCTAAGCAGAGAAACAGGCTTGTAGAACGTTCCGGAACAAACTCACGATTTTTACTGTAAAATGGCGTATTATTTGTGGTTTGTTGGTCACTTTGTTTCATGTTGCTATAACAACTGCTTTGAAGCAGTGGGAGCATTTGTCTGCAGCCTCCCTGCCTTTAAAAGCCTGCAGCAATGCAGCCGCCAGCTTCCATCTTATGTCCTTAACCAAGACAAACCACATACTACGGTACAATGTACCACGTGTGGATTCTGTACTGCCAGGTTTTGGAAAAGCTCAGAAAGCAGATATAAATAAGTCAATTTTACATAATATTCACAAAGTATTACAGATTTTTTTTCTCGGGAAAGAAAAAAAAAAATCACTGCTTATTGGCTGATTGACAGAAAGGTTTGATTTTCCTGGTATCCTCTTGTCAATGTGTGTCCTTACTGTCTGGCCTCCTGAGGCTGATGCAGACGGTCTGTGACTGAAATGTTATGTCGTTTTTCCTGCTGAGCTCCGATAAGACCCCCCTCCTGTGTCGGGTGGGTGGGGGGTGGGGGGGTCGTCTGCTCTCCCATCCACCTGAAATCAATTCTCCCAGCAGAGACGGGAAGGGAAGAAAAAAACGTGCAATTTGTCACGTAAGTCCATTCTCCAATGCTGACAAGAGCTCAGGCCTTTAAACATGGCCGCTGTGAGACTTTGGAGATCAGAGAAGGGAGGCTGCACCAATCATGGCTTGGAGCTTTGTCTTTATGACCTTTGACCTGTCAAGTGCTTCCTTCGCCCAGGGTTCATTAAGAATGGCCTGTGTATATAGGCGACTCTAAGATTGTCTCCCAGGGGGGTGCAAGCTGAGAAAACCATTTTGGAAAAAAAATAAATAAATAGAAAATACATTTACAAGAAATTATTGTAAATTGCACACATTGATTTAACTAACACAAGCCACATTCGCAAATTTAATGTTACAGTAGAATTTAATTTGTTTGAACTTGTGTTCAAATAGCATTTTTGTCTGACCAGTAGGGGGCGCAGTTCCCCTCCTGCACCCCTGGTAAAATTACCTATATCTGTGTAGCATGTGTGCAATTATGGCATGGTGCCAGCGTACCATTAATGTTACTGCCTCTTGCTGCACGTGTGCCATCGATTCCGGCTTTGCCTCCATCGGGAAACTGCCTCGTGCTTGTTTCTGCAAAGGACTCATCTGGTATTTGGTGCCCCTGCTGGTTGCTAACAATGTTGTTAACATGTTGATACTGTCAGCAGCCTGCAGTCTCGCTGGGTCCCTCCCCACTGTGATACGTCTTTGTGTGCTGCTCGTTTTCCATTCTGACTAGAGGCTGCCACCCTTGCACCCAAATCATGGGGCTCTGTGGAGTTTTCAAGGAAGACATGCTGGTGGTTTGGTGGTGTAGTGGTGTGGTGGTTTGGGAAACAGATTTACCAGCTGAATGCTGCGGGCCCAAATCTCCCAGAAACGACGCTTGGTCTCTTTAACGAAGACGTCCTGCAGTTTATGGCTGAACTTTTTTGGATGAAAGCCTTCGCAGACCGAACGCTAACTGGAGGTATCATTAAAGCTTCTTTTGTTGTGCGGTTTTAACAGGCAGGATTGATTCCTTATCAATGCAAATTTATTCCAGCAGACCTGAGAGTGGTTAGATGTTAACTCAGGGCCTGGTGCCGCAATATACCTTCAGAATAATGTCTTCTTATTCATCTTTAGAATGGAATTCAGTGGGATGGCGGGGCATCGCAGTCTGATATTTGTCCAGCAGGGGGCGCGGGTTCCCTGGACACCAGCACCCCCTCAGAGAGGATGCACACATCCGATTCTTCACAGCCGGAAAGTCGACTTAGTCCAAGTTCTGCTAGCACCGTTCTGTCACAGTTGTCATGGGGACCGACTTCTTTTCCAGAAAACGACTTGGTTTCAAACATCATGGTGGCCGTAACTGGTCAAAGCTGCTCTGCCAGGGACACTAAACCGGGAGAGAGAGACCCAGGCTGAGCCTTTAAACACCAAAAACACAAAAAGAAAGTAAGAAAGAAATAAAATAAAAAATAAAACAAATGGATCACCCAAGGCAAGCTGTTTCATGTCAGTGATTGATTAGCTCTTTTAAAAATATAAAAATAAACACACGTGTCAGCACAAGCATAAAACAACCAGACCCTGTGACAGTTTATTTCAAACTGAAGTACAACTATAACCTTTACAGGCATAAACTGCTTTAAATGAATGGTTCTTATAATGAGTAATGAAATGAGTGTCATCAATCAAACAGCTTCTCCATATGTTTAACAGAGCTCAAGAGACTCATTTAGCCTTGCAGTGGACCTCAGGAATCAGACACGGTGTGCAGCAGAAACCCCCAATCTGCCCCCAGCCCCAGACCTGAACAGGGCCTGCTTCCAATCAAACTAGGTTCTACTCATCCCCTCAAACCTCATCTGCTCAATCTGTCTCACTCCTCTCAGACTTTCCCATCTCTGCTAATCCTTTATCAAATACCCATAATTCACTTGGAAAGCATCGTTGTCTTGGCACTGCGCAGTTCTGAACTGTTGTCCTGGTTTAGTGCTGTGCGGAACATGGTGTAGAGGGTGCAGAGGACAGGTTTTGACTCTTAGAACACAGGCAACAGCTACTCACGCTGTATTGCGTATCTCTGGTCTGCCAAGGGCGCACCTATCTGGTTTTTACAGGTACTTGTGACGTGAATTTCGGTTTGTCGGAAATGGCTGGCAATCCTGGGGCCTGCTGTGGCGTCTGGGCCGAACAGAACTGCGCCCTGCAGTAGAAGTTGCACTTCACTGCTGCGCCAGCAGGTGGCTCTGTCGGCACCGATTGTGAGAGCTGTAATTGGTAGTCTGCTGATTCACTGAATCATAGATATGGCGATAAATATTTCACAGTACGGCTCTTTATTTTTTTTCTCCCTCGCTCTTTTGTCGTGTACTAGGGTGCTTGTTATGTTAATTCTTTCCGGAATCAGTTTAATGTGAGGGGAAATTTTGCTAACAAAACAGAAAAACATTTATCCACTTTTATCTCCTTTGAACCCATTTCCCAGAATGTAAAATGAGTGCAGTTGACTATAAATAATGGTGCATGTCCGTAATCACCATGTTCAGGCCGTGCAGTGAACGTTAATCTATAACTCCTGATATTGATTTGTTTTTTCTAGCCGTGGTCGTTGTCTTAGGGTCCTTTGGGTCTCTGTTATGTAAAGTCATGTAAATTAGTCTTTAGAAGAAATATCCCCTCCCATGTTTACTCATACGGTGATCCTGGGCATATTTTTAATTGCCCCTGTAATTACGGAAAAATACCTTTAGCTTACATAACATGCGACTGTAGCGCAGATCCTAGCCCGGAATGTTTGAAATCCCCCATGTGTACAGTGCATTTCTGACCAGTATAGAGAGCATATTTACAGCTTCCACTGGTTTCATGCTGTGGAAAATGGACAATAAAACAGGAAACTGAGAAACTGGAACTGAAGGGTCATGTATCCCCTTTGGGCTCCTGTGCAATCCCAGAGCAAGCACACGTGTGCCTGTTTATGTTTGTCTACGTGTGTGTGTGCGTGCGTGTGTGTGAATGAACAGCTGGCTTCTCTCTCATGGCAATCTCTGGCCTCCGCCCTCCCCCCCCCCCCCAAGAGACAGAGTGGGCGTGCTTTCATTCCTATTTTACAGACAGACACACACACAGAAGAGCTACTACCCCTTTTACCAAGACGCTGAGCACGGGCCCCTCCCTCTAGAGTCTGCCCCAGAAAGGAGTCCCCCCCAGCCACCACCACCCCCCCCCACCACCACCACCTCCCAGTCCACGCACAGCGACCAGCACTGGGAGCGAGCCGGAGATCGCTCCTCACTTTCAGAGTACGGGACGCTGCTCTGTGGAAGCAGGTGTGGCGACAGGAGCAACTGGAGCTTAGTTTCGGGCCGAGGTTAGTCTGCAGCTCGGGGTTAGTCTGCAGCTCGGGGTTAGTCTGCAGCTCGGGGTTAGTCTCCGGAGGGGGATCGCTCTCTGCGTCGTCGTGAGCGCGGCCGCCGTGGAGGTGGAGTGGTTTAGAGCCGCTGGCAACCAGAGTGCCGGGTCGGGGGACTGGAATGGCAGCGACCCGGGGGAGATGCTGACCACGGTGTGGGAGACGGAGGGGCTGCAGACCGCGGGAATCGTGGTCATCGTCTGCGCCTCGCTCAAGCTGCTCCACCTGCTGGGGATCATTAACTTCTCAGAAGGTAAGTAAGGAAGCAGCGCCGCGCGGCGTCTGCAGAGCCGGCCAGCCGGCTGTCAGGGAGACTTTGGCAGCTTCGGGAAGGTGTGACTCCAAAAGTTTTCTGTGTGTGTGTGTGTGTGTGTGTGTGTGTGTGTAAATAATATCAGTGTCTACTCATTTCCTTCAGTAAGTTCTGGTATCATTCAAGCAGGCAGGCTTGTTTTTGTATCTCTACAATCCCACTCTCGGCTGCAATAACCTAATTTAAAATGATATATGCATTATTTATGTGTTCATATTTCTGTAGTAAGAACTGAGCCACAAACTACCAGCGTACACTATTAAGTTAATTAGCACAACAGTATTTTCTACCAGGTACCAGATTGTCCAGAATTTTCTTGCATTTTCTCAGCTGTAGAGATATCAATTAATTAAGCAACACTAGAAAGCGGCGAGGTTTTAGATTTTATATTTGTTTAGTTGAACATCTCGTACAATATTTTCTGATCTGAATATCAAATCAGGCGGTGATGTCTGCAGTACAGAGGGAGATATTTCCCGAGTGTTGTGTCTATTATTGTCGTCCACATTTCTTGTAGTTTTAAATATACATGAACACTGAGTGGAGTAGATTAAATAGAGTATTAAATATTAAATGGATTTGCTAACTTAATCCCATCAATAGAAGTTTGAACGATGTAAAAATGCCCCCTTTCTTTGAGAAAGTTTCACAATTGTTTAATCACCCCTGACTAGTGAAATAGAAGTTTTGTCGGTGTCTTGGCTGCTTTTACTTTACTATTTTATGTTATGTTTCCTTTTTTGCATTGCAGGACAGGGTCTGTTATTTTTTTCATTTTTTCTGTGATCCTGCATTAATCGCTTATCAGGCCGGGTCTACCCCACGCTTCTTCCGGCATCTGTGCGGGTGGTCACTGGCCTCCCCAGCCGCGTTGGGCTGCCTCAGACACTCACAGGAGAGTTGCATCCAGCCACAGTGCCGCAGGGAGATGCCAGGGAGAGGAACCCAGTCTTCTCACTCACCTGATCAGACATGAGCTAATTTGTGCTCCCGGTTCCACAGGCGGCTGACGTTTCACAGAGGGCATTCAGGACTGATACTTACCGGGTTCAGCCCAGGTTTTAACCGGGTTCTTACGCCGGATTCAGCCGGGGATCTTATAGCGGTTCTCACCCTGATAGTCGAAGCCTCAAAGGCGTGTCTTTCACTCCTTAACGATTAAATATTCACCCATGTGTGCATTCAAGTGCTGTGTGACACAATACCAGATATTTTACTAGCTTTAAGTAAGATAGATTTCAAGAATATTAAGCTGGAGGACGATACAGGTTCTTTCACTATGACCCGAGAGTCGCTTTCAGACATCTTGCTGTTATATTAAAAACTTTTTCTCACCATTGTGAGTGAACCTGGTCTAGCCAGATTCTTTCGGCTTGTAGCCGCGATGCCAGCTATTGGTTCTCCCAGCTATTGGTTCTCCCAGCTCTTGGTTCTCCCAGCTATTGGTTCTCCCAGCTCTTGTTTCCTCCATGTAGCTCAATAACACTTCTGCTAATGGGCTGAGGTGAAGGCTGCGTAGAAACACAGCAGATTTATTCATTATCCGTGTTAGTCTGTGCCCCCCCCCCCCCCCGAGACACCATGCAATCTGTTGGAGGCTTTATTCAACAGATGAAAATGTAATCGCTTCCCATGGCCAGGTCAGAAGCGGAAGGCCTTGGGACACTTATTACACCGATCCGCAGAAACCTAATTGAATGACGAATGATTGAGTGAACGAAGCAGGACCACCGGTGGCTTGTCCCTCCTGAGGAAAGCACCGGTGCCCTGAGAAAGGCTCTGTGTCGGGGGGGGGGGGGCAGTGGCCCCATCCTTTCCCCTCTGTCCCAAATCGCCATATCGGCTGCAAAATGTGTTTCCTCATCTGCGTGCAGGACTCATTAAGGTCAGGTGTGCACCAGTGTAATTATAGCTTTGGTTTTTTTGTTTTTTAGTTTTTACATTTATATACAGTATATATATATATTTTTAATTCTAAATCCATTTTTCGTAGTTTTAGTAATTATTAGGTGTGGTTTTATTAAATTTTGTACATTTTTATTTTAAGATATATTTCTGTTTATATATTTAGTTTTAAAATTTAATTTTAGTCTTAGTTTTTCTAATTTTATTTATTTTGATAGAACGAAAGCTGAATGTATCTGAAATTTAGATATTTAGCGGCATGTTATACACGAATGTTGTCGAAATGGGCACAACATGTTCCAGTTATTATTATTGGTAGTTATACCATATAATTAAAGATAAACAAATTATTACATCAACTTGATAGTATTAAGAATGGTGATGGAAAGTTTTTTGACGTTTGTGGGTGATAATACTGTACCTATCTGATAATAAGATGGCAGATGGCTGGGTCCTGAGGTTCGGGACCAGTCAGTACGTCGGGGATGATGAATACGCCCCAGACTCCGGCCCGTTTGGGGAATAATGCCGACTTGAAATTGATAATGAGGAAAGCGTGACAGGAGGGTGCGGAGGCACAGCAGCACGTCTGAGGTCTGAGATGGTTATCTGGGCCCTCTGCTGATGATTTACACTTCCAGCTGTGATGAAGATGAAGAGATAAATTTCCCAGAGATGTCAGTGCGGTTAAGAAATAATTTAGCATTTATGCAGACAAAAGATCTTATTCTATTACAATGAGAATTTCTGCCTGTCGCCGTCCGTGTCTGTTCTCCATCAGTCCTCCAGGCAGGACGACATGTTAAGTGCTCCGATCTCAGAACGCAGATTTTACTCTCGAGCGGACATCTTCTAAGTGGTGATGTCAGAACATTACTCCTGGAGTCCATTGTGCCCACTTTGAAGTACTGGTGGGACCAGTATGTTCTGAGCGTAACAAGTGGATTTAGACTAATTCCCTCCTGAGAAGTGCCACAAAAGTGGAAAAAAAAGTGGGAGAAAAACTAATGAGGACAGTGAAGAGGATTTGGTGAAAGGGGCTTTCTGCTTGGCCGCCCCAGCTTGGCCACCCCCCACTTGCTCCTTCAGTCGTAAGAAGGGCATGGAGCCATCCCAGGACTCCTGGGTATTTCTGAAAACGTGACAGCGGCCTCAGCTCCCAACACTGCGGTTTCTCGGGAATAGATCTTCGGCGACATGTCTGGTAATCACTAGGCTGTAGTCTGACCATATCTTTCTTAATAAATTCTTAGAAATTAAAAATATTTCATAAAGACCTCAAGAAACCGGTGACGTTTCCTTAATCGGTTTGCACGCCTGTAGCTGTAGGGCAGGTTTGCCGTCTTCTTGCATATCAGTCTGGAAGGTGGTGTCACGGTTTTCAGGGCACTGCACTGAACGCCAACGGTGAATTAAACCCAGGTCGCCCCCCACTTTCCCCTGTAGCAAGACACAATTAGCTGCAGCAAAATTTTGGCCACAAGTCATCGGTTAATTTCCATCTCTAAAAGGAGTGAATCTTCATGCCTGCCACTATCTGACCGGGACCAGAATATGTGGGATTTATATGTCGACCAACTCTGTAGATGCACTGGTTCGGGAGTGTAACCAGGGGCGTCGGAGGGCATGGATACCCTGACAGTTTCAGGGGCCCCAGCACTTTACAGGGGCCACAGTAGGGGCATGGATACCCTGACAGATTCAGGGGCCCCAGCACTTTACAGGGGCACAGTAGGGGCATGGATACCCTGTAAGATTTGGGGGCCCCAGCACTTTACTGGGGCCACAGTAGGGGCCTGGATACGCTGGCAGATTCAGGGGCCCCAGCACTTTACAGGGGCCACAGTAGGGGCATGGATACCCTGGCAGATTCAGGGGCCCCAGCACTTTACAGAGGCCCTTGAATACGTAAAATTATAAAATGATATAATGTAAAGGGCAACAAGGTGCAGGGTGACATTCTGTCAGTGGGTCCAGAATGTCTAGGTACAGTACAGGTGCTCCCCCGAGTGTGACACTGATACGGTACCAGTGTCTCTGTCTATCAGCACCCGTGGTGACGGCAATGGCGTTTAGAGACTCAGCTTTGTTATCCCTCCTTTTTAGTGAGCTTCAGGATCACAGCGCATGTGAGGAGACGGGTGGATTTAGGGCCTTAGCGCGCCTCGTGGAATCCACCCCCCAACAGCACACCTACACAAAAACTCCTCAGCCTCTCCTCTCAGTTGCCGCTGCATAACGATGGGAAGGAAATAACTCGTTAAATAAATCACTCGGAATTGCGCTCTTCGGTCCTGCTGTTTTAAGAGGTGAATTTTGATTGGGCGGCAGTAAAGACAAAGGGAAACAAATGTAATGATTGACTGGGTACCAGGAGCTCCCAGTGCATGTGTTTTTTCTCAGCTGCCGTTACAGCCTCAGTTATTAGACAGAACCACCACTGTAACTTAGCAGAGACCTTTGGTTAGCTATCAACCTGCCTTGATAAGAAGCTCAATCTTTAGACAGGAGTCGCCCTCGTATTTTCTGCTCCAGCATCTTTCAAACAACATCGCAGTTACCTTAACTGAATTTATCAGTTGCTGTGATGTTATTAAAATGACTGGTTTTTGGTTGAAAATCCAGTGTAATCATCGGTCGCATGGTGGCTCACTGGATCGCAGTGCAGCCCCGCACCTCCAGTGCCATGTTCGTGAATCCTGGAGTTTGCAGGTTAGCCCTGCATTTGTGTGGGTACTCCAGGTCCTCCTGCAGTCCAGGATCACAGGGGTTAGTTAAATCGATGTCTCTGAGCTCCCAAGTGAGTTCTTTATAGTTCATGTGCTGGACTACCATCTTGTTTAGAGTATTCCATAACATGTGTTCAGCATATACACTTTCATCCAAAGTGATGCAAAGTTGAGAAAGTAGGGTCAGATGTCAGATGATTCTTGGAACAAACGGGGCTTTAGGGCCACGCTCAGGGGCCCAGCGGCGGAATCACTCTGCTGACTCCAGGATTTGCACCAGCGACCTTCTGCTAGCCCACTGAGCCA